ACACTCTTAATGATGTACAAGCTCACGTTGGTACGTCCTCATGTTCGTTCCTCACAATTTTATCAAGTGATCTATTATTCTTAAAAATTATGTAATAATATGTAATAATTCATATAATATGTAAGGCCTAAAAAATACATATCGATTACATAAAAAATTACATTGCCCATCCCTATATGAAATACATGATGAGTGATCAAAACTGAGATGAACGAAAAATTGCTGCTAGAAATAGGATGATCGTAAAAATTACTTATAACCTATTGCCAAAAATCTTAGTTAATATTAAGTAACCTTAAGAATACACCTACTGAAATCAATTAGATCCTTCATCATCGAAGAAAAATTTAAAGCTAGGGACTATTTTTATACGTACTACAAGTCTATCAACTCACTAGTTAAAATACAATTAATTTATATCAAAGTTCATTGTCTACTGTTCCGAACGGGTCGACCCGAATAACCCAAACTGTCATAATTGGGCTAGGTGCTGAAAAAGGGACGAAATTAACAATTTTTAAACACATTTTTTTTTTGAGCTCACTAATCTAGAAACATTTTCACTTAAAGGAAAAATGCCGTTATCTTAATCAAATTTGGCAATATGACATTTATTATAGAATTTATAATATAAAAACCAATTTTCATTTCTCAGCACCAAGCCCATATGTATAAAATATTGATCATACGATGAAAGGTAAAAGGTTGGTTTTTTCTTCGGAGTCCTTTATTTTAACACGTGTGATTTTTTATCGTGATATTTGCATAAATGAATCTTTCGTTTTATAACAAAAATTTTAGGCCAAAAAAATTCACACACCCAGCAAACAAACGATAAATTTATTAGTTTGCATTCGATATTTGCAAATTATTGATTATCATATTACCAAATTCCTAACTTTTTCTTCACACTTCATTTACTCTATATCTTAAACGATTTAAGTATTTATTATTTCTAATTTTAAAAAAATTAAATAAAACATGACGGCAAATTGTTTTAGGCAAAATGTTATGTCTACGAAATGAGTGTCTGTGAAGTGGTACTGAAACATTAAAACTTACGTTTTGATTGTCTTACGCCTTGATTGCTTTTTTTCAGTCTTTTTCGGATAACCATTTCAAACGCAGAAATGTATTTAATGCTTATATACAGTTAGTATAGTGGCACCAGGCAAGTATAACAGCTAGGACGGAATCTCTAAACTCAAAACTTTCTTGGACCAACGTTTGGATTAGACAAAAGAAGCGGTTAGATTCGGTGAGTCGAGCTAGTCTTCTCGGGTAAGTACCCTACTGATAAATCTTACTTCATTAACACTTTACTAACTTAAACTCTCTTCTTACTGAAACCACGACCAATTCGGTGCGTTGAATGGCCGGGAACACTTGGGTGAGGTAATCTACGTCTTATCTTCTATAACTACTACTTTACCATGGTACGAAAATCGAATCGGTGTCTAAGTCGCGTGCACAAAACAAGTCGGACGACAGTCTAACCGGGCAATGTAAAAATTTCCTTAACTATGGTAGTGAGGACAGTTTTTGTATACTTTTATAGAACAGATTGTATTATTTTAGGCTGGTTTTACTTGTAGGACACGAAACTGGTTCTATTATATTTCTAGCTTTAGCGCAACTACATTTCGCAGCTACCTTATTAAATTACTTTTAATGATCAAAAATCTGCTAACCAATTAAATTGTAAGATAAGATAACTGCGCAACTAGTTGCACTAAAAACTAGGATAAAGAGCAATAGTAGGTATAAATATTGAACCAGGTATAGAATTTAAGCTCCGGATCCACCTCTCGTTTACAAGATTATTATCACGGTATAAGCCGGGTCATTTCTAATAATTTGTGTAAGCTTAGGTGACCAAATTATCATGTAAGAACTGAAATTACTAAAGCTTAAATGTCTTAAACGTCTACGTTTAATAATCGTCACCTAGCATGGATTTAGTGTCATACTTATAATTTTGACTTAATCTTATTTTGCTTCATATAGGTGTTTAATCATGCTACTAAGTCAGATTTAATTCAAATAGAATTTAATATTCATATTAAACAATGGTGAAATATTAATATAAGTATTAATATGTGATGATATATTAAATCGGGACCGTATATAGTATAGTTTGCATAAAATTTTTAGACGAAATTTCTTATAAAAAGATAATGACTGAAGCCAATTTTCAATAATTAAAAAATAAATTACCTCAACTAAATATCATACAACAATTTTCAATAATCGAAAAATAAATTGCCTCAGCTAGATATCATCTAACTCATACAAATTAATGATGAATAGAATTTTATTTCTTCATTTATTTTTATTGGTTGCACTTTCTGTTACCAATGCTGTTCTACTCAAGAAAAGATCCACCAAATTTGCTTTGCCATGCAAAGTTAATGAAACCAGGGTGGATAGAATCCATGCAAAAATTTCTCCCGATCCAGCAATTTCCGGAAAAAGTATTACTTTCAGTGTTTCAGGACGTCTAAATCACGATATTGCGGATAATGGACTGGTTTCTATCACTTTTTTTGATGAATCCGGGTCCCGCTTAGGAAATAGTAGCAGAGTTCCTGCACCTTCAACTAAAGCTGGAAATATATTTCGGGTAAATGCCAAACTTGATGCACCAACTGATTTACCAAATTCATACTCCATGCAAGTTTTAGTTGTGAATCCAAGTATTCTTCCCGATCCACAAAAGGATATTATAGGTTGTATTGCAGGATTCGTTGGTACTCCTAATGATAATTCAACTAGTAATAAAAATGTAATTAGTAAAAGTTTTTTTATCCTTAGCTAATTAAAATATTATTAATTATTTGAAACATTGAGCTTGGTTTGTGTAAATTGTGTTTATTACATTTATGTTATATTTGTGTTAACTTACATTTGTTCTATGTTTAACATCAATGTGATTCTAAAAATTAATTAGTATTATATTTTGTCCATGTTGTATTAAATAAAGTAATAAAAGAAATTAAATTATTATTTTCTATTTTTCTATAAAATGGGGTTGAGTTAATAGAAATCAAGCAAAATTTTTCTAAGTAAATTTTTTTGAAACTTTAAACAAAGATAACTTAACCAAAAGTTTATCAAATTTAATAAAACCTTTTAAAAATAAATGCCACAAGTTTGTAGAATTTATTTTTTAAAAAAATTATTAAGATTGATTAAGTTTTTGTTGAGTTATTGTTGTTTAAAGTTTCAATAAAAATAATTTGCTTGATTTCTATTGACTCACCTTCAAATTATAAAAATAATTTTAATTTCATAAAATATCAAAATAAATCAATTTTTACACTGTATTTACAACTTTGTTAAGTTAAATATTAATATATAGGTGACGTGACTATAACATGATTTCACAAACCTTGCCTGTAAAGTTATGTAATAATGCTAAGGTTATACTTGTTATCTAAATTCCAAACTGTTATAGTTTGAGATTGTCTACCCAAATTCCAAACTATTGTAGTTTGAGTTTGTTCTTCCAAATTCCAGACTCAAGCTCAAGCTAATATTTCATTTAACCAAATTATTTTGTTGTTTTAATTTTTTTATAAAATAAACTTATTTGATGAGGATGCACTGTTTGCACTCTATAGTAAATTAATATTAATAAGAATTAGATTTGGAATCAAAGTTAGAATCAGAATTAGAATTAGAGTTAGATTTAGAGTTAGATTTAGAGTTAGAATTAGAGTTAGAATTAGAGTTAGAATTTGAGTTATAATTAGAATTAGAATTAGAGTTAGAATTAAAGTTATTATTAAGGTTAGAATTGGGCTTAAAGTAAAATTATAAGATAAACATTTTTTATACTAAAAATAAATATTATAAGTGTATACTATGATCTGATTATGTAAAAATACATGAAATACACAAAGTGCAATTAATTACATTTGTGATCAAAAAAGGATTTTGAATATAAAGTAATAGATGTATATTGTTTTTAACAAATTGGCTAATCTATTACTAATTTCTTCTAATTCTCATGTAATCTATAGTGGCTAAGTCAAAATAGGTGTGTTAAATTTAGTTAGTTGGTTTATTTGTAAGTAAATACTAATCTTCTCATTTAAGTCTTTTCTTCAACTTATTTTTCTATTAACCTTTGCTTGTTTTTATCTTTCTTCTACTTTCTTAATCTAAGGTTACAATACATTAAATAGGGTTTGGATCTTTACTCTTGTACTAATGACTTAGTAACATAATTCAAGATGAATGATCAAATTCTAGTTTTAGTAGATTACAAATAGATAAATGATAATTGATAATGATGGCTTTAATAATAGTTTTTAGTTTGAATTAGGTTATTGTTTCACTTTTAATATGAGTTTGATTTTAAGTTTATTATACAAAAATGTATTTATATGGAGGTATCATTGTTACTTTTGTCCTAGATAAAAATTTTATTATTTATAATAAAAGTTTTATTTACAATTAAAATTAATTTTCTTTATATTATCTATTTATATTATATTATTATTAAAACCTATTTTTCTTTTATCCTAAAAAAAATGAATAAACTATATGCCATCAATCTATCTGAAGTAATAAATATAATAAATATAACAAAACTAATAAAAGTAAGAAAGTAAAATTTTTTTTATTTTCATATAATTAATTATTTAAGTAAGTAACAGAATCTAAATGCAACAATCAATCATATGTTATATATAACTGTTGACATAAGTAAAATAATGAGTCAGTCTCTTGATGAATAAATATATTATATAAGCTATGAATAACTTAATCAATAAAAGACAGTTAGATTTAACAAGTAGAGAATAAATTTTGTAATTTTTTTTATAGATTACTTGTAACAGAATTCTGCTAAAAGTATTTAACTATTTCTCAAAATCTTATTAAATAAATCTTATTTGCACTCTTAAATAAAGTTGTTAAACTCACTTTTCTTTTTTTAAGCAGTTAAGTTTTGGATTCTAATAGTACTTTACTACTAAGAAAAGTTTCAAACCTAAAATTTTGGTTTTTACTTATTTACTATATATTTTTATTAAGATAATATATTTTATCTCTTAGTAAACAAATATTAAGTATCTTGTACTAGTCATTTTGATATATATTTTATTATAAATAAACCAAAACTCACTAAAATATAAACAAAAAAACAAAAACTTAACCCTGTCTTTGCAAGTTTTTTTATTGCCATTTTAAAAAAATCTGCTGAGTTGGCTCAGAAAATATACTTCTTTTGTATCTATTAAAATTTTCTAAATATTAATTAGCTTTTGCAAATACATTATATTTTACAAATTGATCCTAAATAATCTAAAAGTCTAGATAATTTAATTATTTCTCTAAATAAAAGCATTATACAAATAGTTTATACTATTTAAACTTCATAAATATTATCTTAAAAGATAACTACACAAAATGCCAAGCATTATCAATATCAAACTTGACTTCTTTGATCTTGATAATTATCTCTTCAAATATAGTAACAGGTTCAGTTTTATTATTATCTCTTCAAATATAATAATAGGTTTATTTTTATTACTTATAATAACAATATTTAAATTCTTAAAGTTCTATCAATTAACATCAATTCTATAACATATGATCTACAAAATGGTTTTTATTTCTTTATAAGACCTACTGAACCTATTATTACTACCTGTCTTTGCAAAAAATATCATACCTATTTTGCTTTATAATATATTACTATTCCATTATCTTCTCAACCTATTTTAGAAACCATTTTAGATTTATATAATTTTATAAAAATTAAATTCGATATTAAACTATTCAAATTCCTTAAAAGTCTTTGAAGATCCAAATTTTAACACAAACATAAGATTACTTACTTATTTCCTACTTTTTGTAGTAATATTAAGAAAACTTCAACTAAGCCTATTTCTTTTAAACCATGTTACATTATGCATATATATGCATTATATGCAAAACCAAGAATGTTTCTTGTATTATTCTTAAAGATAACAAAATACTTTCTAGATTCACAAGCTTTAATCTTTATAAATAGTAAAGAAAGCTTCTCTGCTCATACATATTGTATTCATATTCTTAAGCTTAAATATCTAATTCTTTCAAAATCTATGAACTGAGAACAGCACAATCTTTATTGTAAAATCAAATGCTAACAACTATTTGCAGAAGAAAAATATATATTTTTCAAGAAATTCATTTTAAAATTACTCAAAAAAACTAAAATAAATAATAAATTCAATAATGATGATCAGATTACAAACAATAAAATTCAAAAAAAAATCAAAATAATAACAATTCAAAACAAAAAGATTAATTAAAAGAAAAAAGGAAAAACTCTACAAAAATGTGATACAACTAATTATTTTAAATGGTTTTCAAACTATTCTATTATTTCTGAAATACAAAAATATAGTAAATTGAGCATATCATTAGTACTACAAATCTTCTTACTTTTAAAATTATATCTTATAAACTTCAACTTAGAACAAAAAATCTTTACTGAACCAACAAACATAAAATCTAATAACAGACCCTTTGCAAATATTTATTTAATTATATACTTAACAAAATGATTAACATCAAACTAAAATTTCTAACTTTATGCTTGAAACTAATCCTGAATTTGATCAATCAAATTCTATTTCTTTTAAAGTTTTAGTTAAAATACTTAAAGATCTACTCACTAAATTTACAGCAGTATTATTTATTTAACTAGATTATTTATACATCTTTTGATTACATTATTCTATCTTAATATATTTAGCAAATAACAAAAAAAAGTTGCTATTAATATGACACATTTATACTTACATCTAAACCATACTTACAAAACTATTAATTTCAAAAAATTTATAAAAAAACTTAACATCAAACCTTTACAATTTATTTTAAATTTTGATATCAATTATGATACAGATAAGCTACTATTTAATATTTAAAATAATAATAGATTTAATATCAAAATCAAGTTGAACATTTTTGTAAAAAAATTTAATAATTTCAAAATTTCTTTACTTAAACCTTATATCAAAAGTTATAAAACTTAGTTTTAAAAATTCTTTAAAAAATACAAAATTCAATTTAAAAAAATTAATCAACAAAAAACAAACAACTATATCAAAATGTTAATATCTCAAAAGCTTATTGAAAACTGCAAGAAACTTTTACCAAAAACTTATTTTTTTCCAAATATCTTATCTTTACTTAAGAATGTTTTAAAGCTACCTTCAAAGCAATACTCTATCACTTTCATAAATGCTATAGCAAATCATGTAACTTACTTTCAAATAATACAGAACACAGTCTTAAAAACATTTCTTAACTTTATTTCTCTCAATTATTTAAATCTTATCTAGTATTAAAATCTAATTTAAAAGAATAGAAGTATCCTTCTTTAGAAACTAAATTATTTCAATCTGATCAACAATTAGTAGCAACTTTTTCAAAATCAATACCTATAACTGAATTAAAAAAATTAGCTACATCAACTAAGAAAAGCTTTGTATCACTTAACAATATTAATAGTAAAGTGGCCTAAATAATATACTATTTTTATAATACTTAAAAAAATATCTACAAACAACAACTGAAAATGATAGAATTCAAGAGCTATCTAAGAAAAAAGCTCTTAAAAAATTATAGACTTTACTACTAATATATATATACTAGCTCTAATAATTATCTACTATGAAATTTGATCTCAATTTAAAGTATCTCTTAAACAAATTAGAATTAACTATAACAATACTTACTACATAGAAGCAGAAAATTTTATAATTAAACATCTTAACATTTTTATTTCTATTCAATAAAATAATATGCTCTTTA